TAGGTCTTTTTATATTATATAACCTCACAGCATATCGTGAAATTAATATAACTGACATTGGATTATACAGAGATGATAGACTTATGGTTAATCTACGAATTTTAAATTCTCCTTAATATCTTTCTAATCTTAAATACCTGAACTTAATTACTGTAAGCATTAAATTGAAAAAGGTGTACTTCCTTGATATAACATTAGATTTAATGAAAAATGTATACATACCTTATAAAAAAAAAACCAAAAAAACCCCAATACTAATCCTTTGTATATACACCCTAAATCTAATCATCCTCAATCTATAATTAAGCATATACCTTTATCTATCAAAAAGAGAATAAGTACAAATTCAGCAAATAAGATTTTCTATGAAAAAGATCTAAAAGATAGTGGCTACAAAAGCTCAAAGCTAACTTAATGGAAAGTACAGAAAAATTGGTATACACTTCCATACAACCAAATGGTAAAGAACAAATTAGGGCAAAATATTCCTTGCATTAATCATTAAACATTTTCCTAAAGATAGTAAACTCAGTACTATTTTCAATAAAAATACCCTAAAATTAAGTTACAGCTGTACTGAAAACTTAGAAAAAATTAAGAAACAATGCTAATATCTTGAATAAACATCTTTGACCAAAGTAATTTAGACAGTATAAAGATGTAACTTAAAGATAAAAATTATGTAACTGCAGAAATCCTCATAACTGTCCTCTTGATAATAAATGTCACACTGAATCATTAGTATACCAATGCAAAAGTCTACATTGGATGCACAAGACATGAGTTCAAGCAATGGTTCAACCAACATCAAAGTTCTTTTAGTATAAATAAATACCGAAATTAGATGTCCCTATCGAGATATTTCTGGCACTTAAAAGAAATCAATAAAACATCTGCTGTGAAATGGAAATTAATAAGAAAAGCTAGAATATGTAGGTCATTAAATGTCTCATGTCCTTTGTGCATACATGAGAAACTATATATTACTAGGTTTATAAAAAACAAAAATTTACTGAAATGAAATAGCTATTCTTTGGTGACATTGTCAAAAATAAAGTAATGTTTAATTGAAAAGAAAAGAAAAATACATATTTATTTTGGATATTTAATAATTATTAAATTTAAGTAATTCTATTACATTTAGTTGTTTTAAAAGATGTATAGTCTATTAGTAATTTAAATTAAGAATATTTTAAAATTGTAGTTCAATATGACGTATTCATATACAAACAACCCTTTTAGAAAAAAATCTTTATATACAAATACAAATTTAACGGTGAAACAAAAGTGCTGAAAAACTTTGTCATTGAAAAAGACCAGACGACATGCATTGAATAGATGTCATCATGCGTTGGAAAAGGCACCATACCCTAATTTGACATAACCTCTTTTTGAAAGTAACTCATATTTTGGTACAATAGTTGTCAGTGAAAATGAATACCCTACCGCCCATTGTTAAAATGATTGGATTTCCCCATATCCTTAGAAACTAATATTATGAATGTATGTGCTTATATAACTTGGTAAATTTCAAAATAAGTTATTCCAAAATTCACTTGAAAATGAAATGTAACTAGGGACTTTAATTTAATTCTATAATTGAATTTGAAGTTTTTACCTTCTGTGTTTGAAACATGGTAATTCCTGTGTAGTGATGGAACCATATTTTTAAATTAGTAAATTTATATTTATGCTCTGTAGATTTGCATTGTGCAGTTTTGTAAAAAAATAAAAATATTAATAACACTGGATTATATATCTTACTGTTCTTTCTCTTTATTATAATATAGAAAAATTGGGGAAAAGTTTATTTGTGATGTGTTCTGTCATTTAGGAATTAATCAAATTAAATGATGTTGGTAGGGCTACATATGTACACAATATGGGGTGCTGGGAATTTTGGATTTTTTTCTCTCCCCCCAGCTGAATTCATTTAGAGTAGGTATCTCCACTAGGTCCTGTAAAGAAGGACCCACACTCAATAAAAACAAAGTTTGTCATCAAAATTTTTGTTATTAAGAGGAAAGACTAAAGTATTTTTTATTTTTGAAGTTTTTTACTCCTGTCTAGCACGTTCAAAATTTTGGTTAGAAATTTTTTTTTTTTTTTTTTTAAGACACTGGCGAACTAGAGAAAAACAGTTTGTTCTATTTTGCACTTTTTACAAGGAAAACAAACATTGATTTGGAAATTCTTTCAAAATTTGAATAATTATTGGATTTTAATGAAACTTTCAGAGCATATTCTGAAATGAATGAAAATATTTAAATTTTTAGAAAATCTTGGTAAAAAAATTTTTTTTTTTATACACATGTTACAACCCACTGACATAATTTCTTGAAATGTCATGAAATTAAATTTTTAATTGGGGGATTTTTTTTATTAGTTAAAAACAGGACTCTTTGGAGAAAGTAAATCAATTATTGTAAAACAGTTACCTGTTTTATTGAAAACCTGCTCTGAATTGTAAAATAAAAAATACAATAAAACTATAACATTATTTAATTAAAAAAGCTTTTAATTCCTTTTGTAAATAATTTATATTAAGGATATTATTATCTGAAGAAATTTGCAAATCGAAATATGAAAAGCTCATAACAGTTGTTTGAACCCAAATATTTTTAAAATAATTTTTAGTGAAAAAAAGTACCTAATTTCTACCTATGGGAATCTATAGATAACAATTCTTAAAAAGGTCACATGATTTAAGTGTCTGACGCACTGCAATTATTTTTAATTCAGTTCTGTTTCATCATTAACGTCTTTGCAAATCATCCTTTCAAAATAAAAAAAGTTTTACTTAATTGTTACTTCACTAAATATTTCTATTTTATGTACTTATTTTAGTTTGGGTCATACTCCAATTAATTTTTTTGTTTAAAGGTAGTAAACTTAAAAACCTAGAAATGAAATGCAAATTTCATAAAACTTAAAAGTTAATAAAATATTAAATAATTGCTGAAAATATGTTAATTTGTAAAAATTACAAGAAATTAAAAAAAAAAAAAAATGCATTCACTTAGTTTTTTGTAAATATGTCATTTCTGGTCATCAATAAGAGTTGTCATCACCTTAAGTCCTTCATAAATCAAAGATCAAAGAGGAACCCATTGTTAAGAAATGCTTGTATTTTTTTTTTTATGCTATAAGTAATATCTATTTCGAAACAGATTAATTTAACTTTACTCAAATGACGTGTCACAAATCTATAATTTAATTTTTAAAGAATTTAAAACCCAATAAATGTTTGTCTACAAATTTAAGAAAATAGCTGCTTTTAAGAAAATATATAAAAAAAATAAATAAATATTGAGCAATTATGACATTTCAATCCATATGATTTCTATCTGAAGTACACCATTTTACTTACTTGAAATAATAAATTTGATAATTTTAACTTTCAATTAAAACTAGAATGAAATCTTCAAGAATGCTTTTTCATTTTTAAAACTTAAGCACTGCCAGTGAATTTTCGATACTTAATTTAGAGTCTTTCTTTCCATCACTTGTATTCCACACTGTGTTAGATCTGCCAGGGATGGTGAAAGGTAAGAGACAGCACAAATGTAGATGATGTTGTGATTAAGGCTCTCTAGGCATTTACATTGTAGTGAATTACTTTCTCCTTTGACCAGAGTAACTTTTTTTTATGTCAAGTTTCTCCTATGTATTTTTTTTTGTTACAGGGTTTATCTTACTGTTTTGTTTAGTATTTACTAAGTCTTTTATTGTTTAGGATGTAGTTACAACTTTTATGTTGAGTTTAGATAGATTCTTTTCAATTAATGTGTTGGTTGCCCACTGTAATGAGGCTGATCACAATTTTGACATAAAAAATGCTACATTGATCAAAGAAAATAATTCACTACAGTGTAAATGTCTAGAGAGTGCTTTAACTGCAAGGTCATATACAGTAAATCTGCACACTTGAGAAATATGTTTTATAGAGTTCAAAACTGCATCTCTGGGCAGAACTTCAGACCACTGAGCCATGGAGCGTCACAACCCAGCAAGCATCTATATACCCTTTTAAAGAATGCATCCTCTTGTTCAGATTTTCTCAAAACCCTATATCTACTCAATTTCTTATCCCAAACTTAAACAGCTATTTAGAAATATATAAAATTGTTGCCCTGCAAATTGGTGTGTACATCATTAAATTTAGAATAGATTGGCCAAATAGAAAAGTTTGGAAATTCTCAGAGCTTAATTTTGTAATTTACAAAAAAAAAAAAAAAAAAATATCACAGATTAAATGGGATATGCTTCAATTTTGTTTATCAATCTGATAGACATCTGTAGAAGAGAGACATTTACCAAATTTTGTTTTTGCTATAAAGTGGTGTGTAACAATGAAAAGTGACTGCATCAGCAACATTTTTCTTAAGGAATATAGAAAATCCTCTGTAACTGTCAACCACTGAAGAATTACCATTTGCCATATTTGTAAAATTTGTCAAGAAGTCACTGATGTCTCCAGACAGGAATTGATTTAAAAAGAGAAAAATAAATAAATAAATGACAAGTTTGTTTCTTTAGAAAATTTTTTTTATTTTAATGTAATGATTATTTTTCAGGAATTCATTTGTCAAAAATGATTTCAAGAAGAAAACAAAAAATGCTTGTTTCCAGTCAATGAAGTGAGTTTAGCAATAAAGATGATAGCCAGAAAATTGATGGAAAGGATTGACTGATTATGTTTCATGAAAACAATGTGTTATGTTTTTGGAAAGTAATTCATTGGTATGAAGTGGGAGAGGGGAAATTTCAGTTATTTGGAGATTTTTTTCTTTCTTTTTTTTTAAAATTATTGAAGGCAATTTTGCTCATTAAAAATGCAACATGAGTTTAATAATTCTCAATATCTTTTCAAATCATTTCAAGGTGAACAAAAAAAACAAAAAAAAAACTGACGTACACTTTAAAATAAACAAATAAATCAGCAGTAGCCATTCACAGAGCACCGAGAATTAGGATTGGAGTTGTGACAATCATTTAGTTTAATTCATGTAAATTTGTCCAAATGTGATGATACAGCCATGGAGAAAATATTTTGACAATATTATGTACCCTGTCAAGAAAATAAATTAGATTTTTTTGTTTTTGTTCATTCCACTTAATTCAAGTAAGACAAAAAAATTGTTTGATAAAGATATAATGTAATGTATAATGTATTACAGCCTGAAAAGTTTACAATAAGGAAAACACTTGATATTCCAAGAGGGGGGAATTATATTTTTAAGTTACACCACTAGTTTTATGAAATGGGAGAAACAAATTGCTATAAAATTATTGAGACCAAGTAAACAAATGAAAATTCATGGTTTCTTTATAAAAACAACCTTCCAGCTTCAATAAATGCAAAATGTTTAAAATAAAACCGTTTATCTTTGTGTTATTCATCAAGAAAAATTCAGTACAGAAATTAGACACTGCCCATTCTTTACCCAGGCATATGTTAAGTGTGTGCAAGACTTTTAAGCGCCCTTTCTCTTGTCATTTTCTAAACTAAAGTGAGTACATTGCAGAAAACCTATTTTGTTTTTAATAATTTAAACAAAAAAAAAAAAAAAAAAAAAAAAAAGTGCTTAACTAAAAAAATGGAAAGGAGCCTGAAATTTAATCTCATTTAACAATCAAAATAAAGTTATTTCAACCTTGTTTAAGGAGAAAGTCTTTTGAATGATTTGATATTGAAAATGAACAGATTTTGTCTGATATTCAGTCATTTGGAAACTTGAATAACAAGAAATCAAACAATGCCCAAATCACTTAAAAACGTTCATCTGTTTAAAAAAATGATGAAAATGGTTTTTATATTTCAACAAGGTTGAAAATTCTTTTATTTTTAAAATCTGAAACTAGTTTTAAAATTGCACAAGGGAAATTTACATCACACACTTTTGTGATATTCTTCACTTTGTAAAATATCAAACTGAAATGAATTCAAAAATGTCTAGTTTAATAATGCACCCCCAACTTTTTTATTTTTTATTTAAACCATACATTGTACTTTTCAAAAATTAACATTCCAAGTTTTCTACATGGATTAAATTTTTAACATGACTTTTTGACAAATATTCCAAAATCTTAATACATTTTTTAAGGTTAAAAAAAAAAAAAATCTTTGAATTATTAGAATATTTACATAAAAATGGAATGTCTTCTAGTATAATTGATAAGTAGTCTGTGTTTTGATAAACATGAACTATTTTAGCAATGATTATAAATAATAGTAGGAATGGAAGAAAGAAAAGTCCTGCAAATAAAAAAAATCCCTAGTGTAGATTAACTTTCAGCACAAAGTTTTGTTTTTTCAATTAGAAATATTTTTTATATAAAATGAGATACAAATATTTATAAAATTATGGCAATATCTGAAGAAAAAAAAATAAAGTAAAATTATATTTGCAAACCTACTGGCCTGGAGATGGGGGCTTAGTATTAAAACTAACAAATCCCCCCCCCCACTCCTTTCTCATTTTTATAGTTTTTTTCCTCCTATCATGTGACATCAACAAATGTGTAAGTATGGTTATTTCTAGGCAAATACAATTCTTAAGTTATATACCAGCCTATTAACTGTGCAAATGGAAAATAAATTTCAAATTTCCAAACTAACAGAATGATTCAACAAGAATTCTTGTGATATTCTAATTGCCAAAGGTAAACCAGTTTAAAATCAAATATTCATCAGTTCTGATGAGTGGAACCATCCCAACATTAACAAGACAGCTGGAGTTTCAAATCCTGAAAACATTTTAATATTTACACAAGACAACAAGGTTTGACATACAAATATGATAAATAGATAAGATGGGCAGCTTCAGGATGAAGGGAAACTAAGGTTAGATTTTTATCACATTGTTAAGGAAAAAAGAAATTTTTTTCAAAGTTATAATGGAGAAAACAAAGTATAATGGAGTCAAGAAGTATCTCAAAATTAAATCTTATTGCACAGTCCCAGCAGTGATTTTTACACTTTTCAAAGATTCTTTAAATAAAATAAATAAATAAAATAAATAAATAAAATAAATAAATAAAACAGAAATGAAAGCTAGAAATTTGACAATTTCTGTGGAACTATGGGAAATTTTAAAAAAAGGTTAAACATATTTATTTTCAATGTTGCCAATCTAATATCAAATATTGATTAGTAAGATTAAGCTCTCATTTGGTTTCAACATCAACTTTGAATTCATAAGTCAAAATAAAAAATATACTCCTGCTACAAGCAATTTCTATTTTGGGGAACCAACTGTAATGACAAATGTATCCTCCTAACTACTAATCATACATAAGAGTTAAGAATCAATTTGGAAGTACATAAACATAGCTTAGTTTCTTGTGTGGCAGTGTACACAGTGGGTTAAAGAATAAATGGCTTAACTCCACTCATAGAAGAATTGAAAGTGCATTTATAAGAGTCGGCTGAAAAGTTCAGAGACTGACCAAGACATAAATTTAAGTAGACACCATTTGGTAGGTGTACATGCCAGTATATACTAATTAGCCAACTGTTGTATTCTGGTACACTTGCATGTCTTTTAGTCTACCAACTGGTGTGTCTACTTACATACTTTCCAGCCAAACCTCATATGTCAATGTTTGTAGGAGTTCAAGCAAGGGAATAATGCTATCAAGATGTGTTTATGATCAAGGACCTGAAAGTACAAAATTGGTTTGAAAATCTTTTTCTGGAGAAATGTCATTGGAATATGAACCCAAACTGGGGCATCCATCAAAGTCATTAGTGAGATGCAATCCACAGCAAAATGCTTGAGAATTAGCAAAGATATTAAACACATTACAATCAACCAGACACTGACACTTAGAAAGTCAGTAATTTGGGTCTTTTGTTTTGCTCTGAGCAAAAAGAAAGCAAATCATTTAGCCATAATGACAAGTCTCTTTTCACAACAGAGAAATGATCCATCCCTTAAATATATTATAACGGATGATGAAAAATGGGTAACATACAACAATGTTCAACACAAAAAGCAATGGACTGACAAGGATAAATTTCCACAAGTGATCCCAAAAAGCTGAACTTCATGGAAGAAAGGTACTTGCTGTGCAGCTGGTCAGTTTGTCTTGGTATTATTCATTTAGAGTTCTTAAAATGCAATGAAACACTAAATACATCCAGGGACCACAACAGGTCTATAAAAGTTTGGATGAAAAGCACCCTGCACTCATTAATTGTGAAAAAAATTGTTCTCCTTGATGACAATGCAAAGCCACATAAAGCAAGAACGCAAGAAAAAAAATTTTGGAACTTGGTTGGTCTGCTTTACCAGACTCACCTGACCAACTGATTATTACCTTAATATATATAACTAAAAAAAAAAAAAATCATCACTGCAAAATTCTTTGATGAGGAAAAATCTGTAATGAAAACCAGATTCAACCTGAGGAAATTTACTCAAAATGTATCAAAGAGCTGCCTGATAAGTGGCAAAAAGTCATTGCAAATAATAGCTGGATCTATCTATAATTGAATAAAATATAATTGTACTTTATTTTTTTGAAGAATAAAGTTGCTAAACAAAGATGGAAATTACTTATACCTGAAACTAATAGTTCACTAGCTTAAATAATTTATTATATTTTATGTGCATGCACAAAAAAAAAAAAAAAATTCTATATCTATTCAATTTATGAATTGTCTTTTCCAAATTGGCAGTAAGCTGCATTCCTGGCAGCTGCAGATCAAAAAAATATCCAAATGATGGCTGTGCTCGAGCTATTTCTTTTGTATCCATAATAACATGCAATGACATTATTTTTTTTTTCCCCCCCTCATCCACTGAAGATGACTCGTATAAATTGAAAGCTTGGACACTGTTTTGATTCCAGATATTTTTTGCATCTGCAGCAGCCAGGTATGTGAAAGGTTATTCACATTTTGGGAATCAAAAATGTATACAGTAACAGAGGTGTCAAGGGAATAACCATCCTTTTGAAACACCTTTTTTTTTTTTTTTTTTTTTTTCAGGCATGAAGGTTGAACATTGCCAAAGTTTTTATGGTTCATACAAAAAACTTAAGAATGTAAACAGAAATCATGATTGGGGATCAGAAAGGAGTTGAAAAAATTGTCTCCTTTAAAAAAAAAAAAAATAAAACGTCAAGCAGAAAAATGGATTATTTTACTACAACCGAGTTTTGTTATCTTTTTTTTTTTTTTCAATGCACATCCATACTTTAAAACACTTCAGTATATGCTAAATATATTTTATCGTCTTCAAGTAAGAAACTCATGATTATGGCTCAGGATGTTGACCATGGACCACTTTTATTTTTATTTATTTTATTTTATTTTTTTTACTAATAGATAAATTTAGGAATTGTATTATAGAAATAGTAAATGTATATATGCTTTATTTTGAAGTAAAACTAATTTAATCAATATAAACTTTGTATTTAACAACCAAGTTCTATGGAATATTTATGTACACTACTAAAATAACTCATAATAAACCATTTAAAAACATGTGAGTAATTAACACCCAATTTGCTATTTTTTGTCTGGACCCCAGGATCTAAACTTAATAAATCAAATGATGATATCAAAAGAACTAATCTTGTCCCTCATTTTAACACAAAACAAAAGTAAATTCTAAAATTAATTTTTCATGCCTTATTTTCTAATTATTTCACATAATCTTCAACTCATCAAGAAGCAATTCATATTATAAAAGAACATACATATCTCTTCTGCAACATAAAAGACATTCAAGAGCTACACACAAATCTGAATATTTTTGATCAGTAGGTTTAAAAAATGTTTATTCCTAAAACTTAGTTTTCAAGCTTTCCTTCAAAGTATTTCCCAGGAACTTGTGTTTGTGTATGTGAAAGCAGAATAAAAGATAAAAATATAAAATTAGTTACAAATAGAGCAAATAATAAAATGCTGAGCAGAACAGGGGAGGAGGAGGGACTGATGGATAATTCTTTATTCTGGTTGTAAATCAGAAATCATTTCATTTACAGACCCTAAAATGAAACATGCTGAACATTAAGAAAATGTCTCACTTCTTTTCATTGTCCTCTTTCTTTCAATCT